GCCCCCGTCATGTGCCAGGGAGCCCGCCTCCCACGTGACGTAACCGGGGCGCCGCGATCCCACAATGCGCTGCGGTAGGATTCTTTTGCATACGGGGCCCGTCTTAGTGTCTCGCTGACCCTGGTATGCCCCGCCCGGGGAGCGGCCCTGGGGCTGCGCGGGGGCGGCTGCAGGGAGCCGCCAGGTTGGGGCGCAGAGCGGGCCAGGCCCCGCGTTTTGCCGGTGGTCGCAGCCTCGCTACAGCCGGGCGCTGCTGGTGGCGATGCCCCGGTGGCGCCGCAGCCAAAGGCCGAGGCCCTGAGAGCAGCCGCAGCCGGGCGCCTGCGGGGTGGCGCAGGGCCCAGACCAGGTGCTGAGAGGACGCGCCCCGCTATTGCCTGCGCCGGGCTGCCCGCAGTGCCTGGGGAGGTAGCTCCCCATGCCAGGCTGAAGCTGGCCAGCAGGCATGGTAGATGCGTGCTTGCACGGAGGAACTAAATAAGCTGTAAAGCGCATAACGCTGTCCTGAACCCAAGCGCACTCATCAGGTGCTGTGAAAGGAGGTGCTGAAAGCAGAGGATGGGAAGGAGAGAGAATTGGAGTATGAAAGACGAGGGCAATGCTGGGAGGAGCAAGCAAGCAAACGGTAAACCCATGAGAAGGCAGGGGGTCACAAAAGCCAGTGCAGGCAATGAGATAAGCAGCTGTGTTCTGGTTGGGTCTTGCCACAGCCAAGGACCAGCCACCGAGCTCCCCTCCTGCAGCAAAACGAGAATCTGGACCCTTGTCACCTGCTGCTGCCTCTGGCCCTGGGAACAGAGGGGATGCATTAAGGCCGGTCTAGACAGGGGCTGGCGCTCGACCCGTCCTGATAGACTCGCCAGCTGCTGCTGCTCCAGGTAGCTTTGGAGGGGGAAGGCCCAATTTAAACAAGATCCAAACAAAAAAGGGCAAATGGCCTCCTGAAGGCTCAGGACAAGCATAGTGGATTCTTAACCTGGCAGGGGAAATATCATGCATCTGTGTCCAAGAAGGCAGTTTTCCTGAACTGCACTGGAGAACTGCTCTTCTGGCGTGGTTCAGTACCCGCCAAAGTGTAGCAGCTTTAAGCCCAGTTTATGGAAACGGGACTCTCCTCCCTTGCTTGCTCCAAGGGCCTTATGGCTAAGAGCAAGCAAAACTTGAGGGCATCTGAACCCCAAGCCTCTGGGCTTGGGCCTGCAAGTAGGATGCCCGCCAAAGGATTTGTAAACACCTGAAACCCCAGATGTGGGTGGAGGATGTTTGCTGGTAGTAGGGTCACTTGTGGTTCTGGACCCCTGGATTTGGCATTAGTTTTGGCTAATTTAGCCTGGGATACATAAGATTAAAAAAAAAATCACTGTTAACTTTCTAGCACATTCAGGTGTGTCATGTGTTTTGCTTGTGTCACACTGTGCCCAGGGCCCGGATGATGTCAGTCTAACCCAGGTCCTCAGCAAGGCCCTTTCCCCATGACCCCACCTGGAATCCCCATGCAAGAATAACAAACTCCTTGACCAGCTGCAGTGAAGGGCACCCTGATAGAGGAGGCTAGAAGAGGCTCCTTCAGCTGGCAAGGGGAGGGCTGGGTGGTGAGTATGTATTCTCCATGTATACAGTATCATCAGGGTGCAAGAAGCACCAGCCCCAAAAACAGGTGGAAACAAACCAGCCAAGGAGACAGTGAAGTCAGATGATGGGGAAGGATCCTACTCATGGAGCAGCAAGTACCCGAGACAATATCTCCCTAGGACTGCAGGCAAGAGATCAAGCTGGTTTTGAGCTGGCATTTGATAATGTTACATATGGGATTGTCAGAGGGAGCTGCCTTTGACAGCAGGACTGGACTCCAGTGTTCCTGTGTGTACAACAGGTGTATGTGTGCATGCATGTGCACTCCTGTATTTCCATGTATCCAAATCCATGAATGCCTGAGCATGTGTTGTATTCACACACTTGTGTGAGCATAAGTATGTGTGCATGCATGTACAAACATATTTGTGTGGTGTGCACGTACATATGATTTTATGTACAGAGGTGCATTGGTTCTTGTTTGTGTGTGTGTACACATTTGTGCTCAGGCACATGCTCTGATATGTGCTTGGGATATGTGGTATATGCAGACATGTATGTAGTGTTTGTAGAAGCACATGTATGTGCCTGATGCATATAATGCTTGCTTGTGTGCATGCTTGTATGTGCACATTTGTGCAGGCACATGTAGGTCATTGAGGCCATTCTCTCTTCCTCTTTACACTGCTTCAGCCCCAGCTCAGTGGATCTGGCAGGGGGCAGCTGGAGTGACAAATTCAGAGCAGCCCCAAGGTGGAACAGTGCAGGGATTAACCTGAAACAACCTATCAGGGAACAAGGTTCTCCAGCAGAGTGAACCATTAGGTCTGACCTCCGGGGACTAGGTGCCAGGATCAGGTCTTCAAAGAGCCCCCAGGCCTCCAGTGTTAACAGGTAAGAGCCCTGGGGTCATGTACTGGGCTTCATCCCATTTCAGTTTGCGGCTCCTTCCCCTGGGTCACTATGGCCCTGCCTCACAGTGCCTCACAGCCAGTGGGGTTCTGCAGACAACAGTACAGCCCTTTCACAATAGGCCAATGTCAATGAGTCAGGCAGAAGCTAGGATGTTTGTGCTTGAGCTTAGGATGCAAAGCCAAACCTGTCTCCTGGCAGGTTCCACAGCCACTCTCCACCCTGCCTGGGGGAGCAGACTCCACGCTTACTGTGACCATGGCAAAGGGTGGCTGAAGCCAGGGGAGTTTGTGATTTCACAGCCTGCTCAGCCTGTGTCCCAGGTGTTCCCCTTTCCAGTCATTAGGAGAGACTGCTGGCCCTGCTCTTCCATACCCCACCCCAGAAAGTACATCTAGCCAGTTCAGCCCAGTCTAGCATCAGGGGACTTCAGGGAGGGCCATGGATCCAATGGCACCACAGCTGCTGTGGCTATCCAGCTGCTGCAGGGCCAAGCATTGCTTTACATGCTCCATGCACCCGCTAGAGGTATCCCTCCTTGGCATGCACCCACCAGCACTTGGAGAAACGAAATGTCTTGGATTCTTGAGCCCAACACAAAAGTCATGTGACCCAGGAGCACCTTGCTCTCTGCTCCCCCCTTGCTGAATTGATGAAGACTTACTCTAACCCCACACACACCATCTCCTGCTGCCTGGTGGTCGGTCACTGCCAAGGGCCCAGGTCTCAAGGCACAGAGTGGATGTGATGCCGTGCAGGAAAGGCTTCCTAAGGCTGCAAGCCAGGGTTGAGATGAGGCTGCAGGCACTTGCAGGGTAAGTTTGTGCTCTCTGGGAGCTGGGATCCCTTCCCCTGGTGTGTGGGGAAAAAGGATTGCTGTCTGGAGGTGGGACCTTTCTGACAAAGATGGGGAACAACATCTTCAGGCAGCATCTGGCTGAACCAGGGAGGAGCTGTTAAACTAGGTTCTACGGGTGATGATGGAAAAAACCCACTGGCCACAGTGCAACCAACAGTGAGGCAGGAAGACTGAGAAAAAGACCTAATTCTGCAAAAGGGCTGGGGAACTGCAACAGGCAGGGAGAAAAAAAAAACAGAAAAGCAGTGTCTTCAGTGTGTGTTGTAACAGGGGGCATGCTCAGGGCCAGATCTCGTGCCAAACCATCCACCTGTTTCTATGGGCCTCCTCACCTGCCTTAATGATACATAATTATGTTGTTAGGCAGGAGGCTGCCCATTCTTGCCCCAATGCCAGGGGGTACTATCTGTGGCCCCATTCCTCCCCTACACCACAGCCCAAGCCTTGCAGGTGGCATCCACAGTTCTTATAACATCACCGGCCCCAGAATCCTTCAGTCCAGACCCCAACTAGATCCCTCCAATCAAGCAACCTACTCTGCCCTCATTCTCCGCTGCCTAGCTCCCTGAACTCTTCCCTCTTGAGTGTGCCCCCCTCCCCAAGACCTTTGGCCACACAGGCCCTGGCCTCACCTCCAACGCCAGTCGGAAACCCCAGGCCCTCAGCTCTAGCCATCCCTCGCAGTGAGCCCCTGGCCCTTTTAACCTTTCTGGTCCTGGCCCAATCGTTAACCAGTCAAGGGTGTTGCAAGTCAGGTCTCTGAGCCTCTAGCCCACTCTCTAACTTGGGCCTGCCTTCTTGGCCCTTCTATGGGGTAACCCACCTGGTTGTGGAAGCTGGGGCTATTAAGGCACCCAAACTCGCCTTTCACCAGGGTGGTAACTGGCCTAGTATTTCCTGGGGGCTCCCACACCACCAGGCCACCCCCCCCCAGCAGGGTGCAGTTTTAGGTCATGCCCAGGACCAGGAGCCTCCAAACCATCCCCTTAAGCTCCTGCCCTTACCTCCTGAATGTTGCATTTAGCCTTGCAGCCAGATGATGTTTCTGCCTCCTCTGCCAGCAGCAAACTGCTCTGTTTATATATGCAGCCACCACAACCAAGCACCTGCTGGCTGTTTGGCTCAGCCCTTAAAGTGGCAGGCACCAGCAGTGGCCTGCCACAGTGTATAAAAGCAGGGAGAGGGGGCACAAGGGATGAACTGGGAGTCATAGCGTGCAAACAAAGCCGTGGCTTGGTGGGAGAATTCCCATGAATTTAACCTGGAGGGGAACATCAACATTGTTTTGGAAGGCAAGGCCTAGCAGAAAAGGAGGCGTAGTGTCTCTGTATATCAGGGGTAGGCAATTATTTGGGCCTGTGGGCCACATAGGCAGTTTTGATGAGCTGTGGTGGGCCAGGTTAGCACCTCCCCCCACCCCCATGCAACAGCTCACCAAAACTCCTTAAGTGGCTCTGCTCTGTACTGTGTGTGGGACCCAGCCCCACGCTGTCCCCACTCAGTGATCTTGGGGTCTCCATGGAGATCAGCTACAACCTACGTGGCCAGGGTGCATAGCCAGGTGGATGAAATGGGGCCATGGGTGGGCAGGGAACTGCAGCAGCCATGCTGCCCCAGCCTCACTGCAGGCCTGGGGATGGTGGGACTAGTCACACGTGCCACAACCTGAGCTGCCTCCTGTACTTGGGCAGGGTGGGACTAAGGGACCCACCACAGGTTAGACAAAATTCACCCCAAAGTGATGAAGAAACTAGCTGGAGAAATCTCAGAGCTACTGGTAACTTATTTGCAGTCACGGGTGACAGTCAAGGTCCCAGAGGACTGGAAACAGGGTAAAACTGCTCATCTTTAAGGGGGAAAAGTAGAAGCAGCGGAATTACTAACCAGCCAGCCTGACTTCAACAAAGTTCACAGAACCCAGTTTGTAAATATCTGGAGGAGAGGGCCGATCACTAGCAGTTGGCATGGCTTTGTTAAGAGCAAATCCTGCCAGACCCAACTCATCTTCTTTAACACAGTTACCAGCTGGGTAGATGAAGGGAATGCAGAGGGTAGTCCACTTTTCTCCACTTTGCTTAGGATAATGTCATGTGGGACTTGAATGAGAGAAAATAACCTAGAATTACTGTTAGGTGGACACCTCACTGGAGGAGTAACCACAAGCAGCCCAGTCAGCACACTGTTGTGGCCCATATGGCATCTGGTCAAAACATTTCCAAATGGATACCCAAGAAGTAAGTTGTGTGGGTGTGGCCCACGTAACACATTGAAAGCTGCAAGTATGGCCTGCTATGGCAAATAGATTGAAAACAAGGGTTGTATGAAACAGCACCGTTTTGTTTCGAGGGGACAGCATTTCATTTTGAGTTTTGCTTCATTTCGACGCACTGTTCCATTTCGTCAAAACTTTCGTTGTTTTGACCTTGTTTCAGTGTTTCGCCCATAGGCTATAATGGGGAAGCATGAAACTGCCTATAAAACTTTGTCTTTTTTTGGCAGATTTGGATGAAAACAGCAGAGATGGTAGCCCCTTTGGATGGTAGCTCACCCGAAAGTGCCAGTGGTCTCCCAAAAGTGCCACTTACAGGTCAGCAGGATTGACTGCAGGAGAGCTCCTCCCGGTCAATGACTGACCACTAGGGGGGCAAGTGCCCCCTCTGACTAGAGGTACCAGTCACCCATGAAGTAGATGGAGATCCTCTCAAAGCAGATCTGTGGGTTGTGTGGGTTGCAAACTTAATACGAGCCAACAGTGTGATGTCATTGCAGAAATAAAGCACAGACGCTCTTGGATGGAATTAATAGTGTGTATGACATAGGAGGTAACAGCAGCACTCAGTGCTGGTTAGGCCTCAGCAGCAGTACTGTGCTCAGTTCTGGGCTAAAAGTTTAAAGAAGAATGTGGAGGGTCCAGAGACAGGTGACAAAGATGACAGATGGGGTGGAAACCAAGCTGGAAAGATGATTGAGAGAACTAAGTAGGTTTAGTTTGGAGTAAATGAGCAGTAAGTTTCCAAATACCTGAAAGGCTGCTGTAAGGAGAAGGAACAACTAGTCTCCTTTGCTGCAGAGGGCAGGAAGCAAGGTGATGGGCTTAAAATGGAGCAAAGCAGATCAATGGTGATGCATAGGGGGTGCATGGGGGTGCACCCTCTATCAGCCAGCATTCCTGGGGGAGGGGGGCAGGCAAGTGTGTTGGTGGCCACCAAGAACACTGGCCGAGGGGCAGGGGCTCACCCAAAACTGCCAGCACTCTCCTGGAAGTGCCACTTGTGGGTCAGCCGCAGGGGGACCCCCCCATTGATGGCTGACCACGGGGGGGCAAGTGCTCCCCCCCGGACTCAAGAGGCACCAGTCACCCATGAAGCAGATGGGAGATAGTCTCAGGCAAACACTCCCTAATGGTCAGAACTGCAAGACAGTGGAACAAGCTGTCTAGGGAAGCTGAATAATCTCCCTCACTGGAGGTTTTCAAGCAGAGGCTAGATAATTCTGTCTGGGACAGATTCATAGATGTTAGGGGCTGAGAGGGACTTCACAAGCTCATCAATGTCCAGCCCCCCTGCACTTGGACAGGAAAGACTGCTGGGGTTTTTTGAAGATTTTCAGAGTAGGTGCTTGTACCACCTCTGAGTGAAGTCTGTTCTGGACCCTAGACACTCAAACAGTAAAAGAAGTTTTTCCTTATGCCCAATAAAAAGCAATCTAGCAATTTGACTGTTATTCCTCATCTTCCCCTGGGGTGCCTGGGTGAACAGATACTCCCCCAGGTCCTGATGTGCACCCCATACATACCTACAGGCTGCCATCAAGTCCCCTCCAAGTTTTCTCCTCTCCAGGCTGAACAGTCCCATGTCTTTTAGCTTCCCCTCACATGGCCTGCTCTCCAAACCTCTAATCATGTGCATGGCCCTCCTTTGAACTCTCTCAAGCTTCTCCACATCTTTCCTGAAGTGTGGCACCCAGAAATGGATGCAGTACTCCAGCTGTTGCCTCACTGAAGCCGAGTAAAGCAGAAGGACAACGACATCCTTAGTCTTGCTTGAGATGCATCAGTAGATGCATGCCAGTGTCTTATTTGCTTTGTTGACTATGGAATTGCATTGGTGGTTCACGTTCATTCTATGGTCTAGCACGACCCCCAGGTCTTTCAGTTGTGGTGCTAGCAAATATAGCACCTCCGAGCCTGTAAGTGGTGTTGCGGATTATTTCTCCCCAGATGGAGCACTTTATGTCACTCAGTGATAAACATCATCAGGTTTTGATTGGCCCACCTTACAAGCCTGTCCAAGTCAGCTGTATTCCCAGCCTATCCTCCAGCATGACTACATTCCCCCATAATTTGGTGTCATCCACAAACTTTGCCAGTACACATTTAACACCTAAATCTAAATCATTAATGAATATCTTGAAAAGCACTGGTCCAAGTACTGAACTCTGAGGGACACCACTGGTCACCATGAGTCACATGGACTCAGGTCCATCTATTAATACACTCTGGGTCCTGCCTCAGAGCCAGTTTCCCAGCCACCTGACGATTAGGAGTAGTGCATCCCACCTCTGAGCAGGGCTTGGACTAGATACCCTGAGAAGCCCTTTTTTCCCCTGTAAGTCCATGATTTCTGTCTGTTGGGAGGGTCAAAGTGTGAGAACCCCAAGAAGCAGCAGTGCCCTTGCCCTGGGGCAACCCCCACATGCTAACAATAGGCAGAGTCAGGCAGGGTCTGGCCTCGCAGCTGGGCCTGTAGGGGCTCCACCTTCAGCCAAAGCCCATCCTCAGCGCGCAGGATCAGCCCAGGTTTGCGCCGCACAGGCCTGCTCTCATCTAGCTGTATGGTGAAGTGCAGTAGCGTCAGCCCCAGCACTACCTTCATCTCTGCCAGTGTAAAGTTCTGCCCAATGCAGTTCCTGGGGGAGGGAAGAAGAGGGGGAGGAGCTCCTGAGGATCCACCCAGCCAGGACCCTACAGGGCTGGAGGAGCAGTGCCCTAGGACCAGACCGGAAATCCTGATCCCTTTGGTGGGAGAAAAGGTCACTGGCACTGTCTGTGCTTCCCTTGGCAGGGGGAGCAGGGTGGGCAACACAAGCAGGGTTCAACCTCACCAACTGCAGGGACAAATACACAGAGCCTGGACAGACACAGTCCTTGTGGGACCCCAACCAGTTCCTCCCTGGGAGAAGGGACTGACCCTCAGAAATACCAACTGGCTCCAATGCTGGCCAGACTAAGGCTACCTCCTGGGTACCCCATAATACTTCACTGCAACAAGCAACTCCCTGGCATGCATGGAAGGTGGGGTGGGAGGGTTGATAGGAGGCTAATTCTGCAAGGGGGCACAAGTACAGGGGGCAAGTTACCTGGGCCCAGCGGAGAAGGGCACAAAGGCCAGTGGGGACTGGTTCCGGGAGTTCTCCGGGTTGAAGCGGTGCGGGTTGTAGACCTAGGAAGCAAGCACAGGACATGTAGGGGGACACTGGGCGAGTTCCCACAGGGCCACACGATGATAGCAGGAACCTTGGCATAGCCCTCAAGTACTGTACCAGGCCCAGCACCCCAGCCCTGCCCCACCACGTTTCAGTCTTGTTGCCTCATGCTGCCTATTGCTAAGAGCACAGCCTTCAGCACCTGCTGAGCACAGAGAAACAAGAACCCCAGGGAATCTGCTGGAGTGATCAGCCATACCTCAGGATCTGGCCAGACAGTCGGATTGTGATGGGTCCCATAGATGCTCATCAGACAGATGTTCCCTGTGGAGAGGATAGGTTAGAGAAGAGGGAAACTTGGTTAGAGATGAGGGAAGAAGCATTGACCGGAAGCAAGAATTATAAAAGGGACTGCTCAGCACAAGGATGAACAGAACTTGCTAGGGATAAAAATCAGCCTGGCTTTTTCAAAGGGAGGTCATGCCTATTAGAGTTCTTTAAGGGTGTCAACAAGCATGTGGATCACAGTGATCCAGTCAATACAGAATATCCTGACACCCAAAATGCTTTCAAAGTCACGTACCAAAGGTTCTCCATGAGATAAGGTTGTTACAGCATCAGAAATGGGGTGAAGCATAGAAAACAAAGAGTGGGCACAAATGCTCTGCTTACAGAATGGAAAGAAGTAAATAGTGGGTTCCCCAGAGATCTGTGCTGGAACCGGTGCTGTTTAATATGTTCATAAATGGTCTGGAAAGAAGAATGGAGTAGCAAGGTGGCCAAGTTTGAAGATGACAAAATTATTCGAAATTGTAAAAGGCAAACCAGATTGCTAAGAGTTACAGGAGGATCTTGCAAAACCGGGCAAAAAACAACAAAACGGCAGGTAAAATTCAATGTTGTTAAAATGCATATTGATGCTCATGGAAAAAAAAAACAACCCAAAATATGCATACATGATGACAGGTTCTACACTAACTGTTACCACACAGGAAAGAGATCAAGGAGTCACTGGACAGTTTGTCAAAAACCATCAGCTCACAGTTCAGCAGCAGTCAAAAAAGTTAGGAATTATTAAGAATGGAATTGTAAACAAAAGACAGTGCCACAATGCAGCTTTAATAATCTATGGTGCATCTGCACCTTTAATACCAGGTGACAAGTTCTGTGAATAGGGGAGACCAGTGGATGTGATACACTTTGATTTCAGCAAGGCTTTCGATAGTCTTCCACAGCATTCTCATGATCTTGGGGAGTGAGGGGGTGGCAGGGCAGAGCCGCAATCTATCTGCATGCCCCTGCAACAGGTGAGGGATCCACTGTCACTGCCCCACAATCCTGGCCCCAGCCTCGGAGCAACTTCCCAACCACCCACGTGCCCTGCCTGCGCAGCTCCCAGCCAGTCTCAATGGAGACCCCAGGAGTGGAGAGTCCTGACAGCATGGAGCCAGGGCTAAGGCAGAGTCCCAGTTCTGCGTCCCCATGCTGTCACGGCCCTGCCATTCCCCATGGAGACTGGCTTCAGAGCCACATAGGCAGGGGCTACCAGGAAATGAAGTCCAGCCACCAGCTAAATCCACTATTTTGCCCACCCCTGATACAGAAGAACTAGAGAAGGTACAGAGAAGGGTAACCAGGATGATCAGGGTCGTGGAGAGGCTTCCATATGAAGAGAGACTAAATAGGCTAGGACCTTTCAACTTAGAAAAATGATGCCTGAGGGGGAACATGATAGAGGCCTACAAAATATTAAATGGTGCAGAAAAATGAACAGGGATTTATTCTTTACTCTCTCTCAATCCTAAAGTTATGGGACATAAAATGAAACAATTAGTTAACAGGTTTAAAATTAACAAAGGGAACTTCTTTTTTAAGTCAGCATGTAAGCAACTTGTGGAACTCATTGCCACAAGATGATGCGGAGGCTGGTAATTTAACCCAGCTCCAAGGTGAGTTGAACAAATTCCTGGAGAAAAGGTCCATCAGCAGATATTGATAATAGTAGGTAGGAGTGCAGCCTTTGAACTAAAACTTCCTAAATCTCAGAATGTCTGAAGCTGTGATGGGAGAGAAGCAGGGCATGGACATTTCTGCACATGCCTACTTCACCCTCCCACTCAGCATCATGCTCCGTCCTGCATGGGCTGGGACAAGCCCTGGTACCTTTGGGGATGACACATCCGTTAGACAGCTGGATGTCCTCGGTGCAGCGCCAAGACACAGCAATGATGGGAGGGTGCAGGCGCAGACTCTCCTTGATACACATGGTGGTGAAGGGCATTTGGGACAGGTCCTCCCTGAAGCATCAAAGCATCAGTGACAGCAGGGAAACAAGCATCGGGGCAGGAAAAGCTGAGCAGCAGGCAGATTGGGAGTGCCTGGGTGGAGTCATGGGAGCCACAGGCACTGTGGGTATGGGCTGTGCGGTGGTGTGGTGTCTGAGGTGAAAATGTGGACAGGCCCATCTCAGCAGACAGATGGAGGAGATGCCTTGCAGTGCAAGGAGAGGCACCCACTGATAGTTGCCACAGAAGCTGCCTCACCATTCTAGCTCTTCCAATGCCTTGTCCTTCACCAGCTCCTGGATCTCCTCCCGGCATTGCTGCTGGTACTCAGAGAGACACACTAGGTTATACAGCACCCAAGACAGGCCACTGGCTGTGGTGTCATGGCCTGGAGAGAGGGGCACAGGCAAAGTGAGCACCACCCTGGGTTGGGGAAGGGAAGCAGAGAAGGTGATGGATCTGTGGCCATAGCAGCAAAGGCCCCAGCTCAGCCCCTGCCAGTGCTCAGCGCTGCTGCCTTGCTGGTGCCACAGGAGAGATGCAGGCCCCACTCCCTGGGCCCATCTGGCAGGTCCAGGAGCCCCAAGCCCCTGCACAGGAGCCAGCCGGAAGCACCTCCAGTCCCAGCAGCCTAGTCTCACAGCTCCCGAGAGTGTGGAGGAAACCACTCTCACCCAACCTGAAGAGGAGAAATGGCAGGGCCCCACAGCCATGGATCACAAACCTGGGCCCTGCCTCATGGAGTCATGACATCTACAGGTGTCCCTTCAGTATGGGACAGGGAGATCAGTGGGGGTCCTGCCCAACCCTCGCCCCACAAAGCACCTCACCCCCAAACATGAAGGTGTCAGCCTCTGCCATGATGTCCTCATCTGACAGCTCCCGGCCATCCTAGTCCTGCAGCAAAGCACATGGGCTACGTTTTAGTGACTGTGGACCCCTGTCAAATCTGTGACCCATCAGACTCCAGAACCTTTCCCACAACACTGTCACCCAGCCAGGGATCTCCCATTCTGTACTCATGCTTTTAATGATATATGCAGTCCCTTGCACATGCCAAGAGTGAATATTATTCTGTTGTCTCTAGCCCAAACAATCCAAACCCTTCTGAATGCTTCTCCTGTCCTCCAATACATCTGCCATCCTTCCCCATCTTGTTTCCTCTGCAAATTTCCTCAGGAAGCTCTCCATTCAGGCATCCAATTCATTAATAAAGCCTGAACACCACTGCGCCCAGGACAGACTCTTGTGTGACTCCACTCAGAGTCTCCTGCAATTCTGATACAGATCCATTTATAATCACACTTTGCTTGCAGCTATCAAGCCAGTTGCCTGCCTGCCTTGTAGTAATTTAATCCAGTGCACACATCTCCCCCCTACTTTGTGAGAAGTTCCTGTGGGACTAACAAAAGAATTTTTGAAGCCCAAGTACAGTGCCCACTGCCTTCCCTTCATCTGCCCAGCAAATTGCTTTGTTTAAGAAGTAAATCAAGGTAGTCTGGTAGGATTAATTCTTAAAAGGGTTCTCAGAGCCCTTCCACCCAGCTCAACAAGGACCAGTCCTGCCCCATGGGCTCAGCCCTGGCATGGT